AGATGATGATAAATGAACGTAAAACAAATATTCGCGAAAAGATTTGACCAAGAAGTTAAGAGAATAAGTTAGGAGAATAATGACGTAGAGAGATAATGGAAGACAAACAACAGCGGGGAAGTTGATAAAGATGAGGAGAGAAAAGGCGAAAGAAGTAAAACTAACAGAGAAAGAACAAGAAAAAAAATATATATATATAAAGTAAAAGTAATAATAAAGAAAACTAAATTGTAGAAACCGGAGGGAAGGAGGAATCAAAGAAAGGGGAAGAATAAAGGACAGGAATAAAGAAAATAAGAAGGAAAGAAAGGTTAGAAATAGGTATAAAAAAAACATATTTATGTTATTTTATTTATTTATTTTTTTTACATGTTGAAATACGTCGAGGTTCACGGTCGGGGGGTGGGGTGGGGGGTGGGAGAGAAAACAGGAGAACAGGAAAGAGAGAAAAAGAGAGAAAGAAGCGAAATCGATGAGAAACCGGAAAAAATAAAGATCGAAAAATGGCAGGGAAGAAAGGAAGGGATAGACAGTTGGAGATAATACAGATTTGTGTTCATAGAAGTCAGTATTGATAGATAGATTGATAAATATGGATAAGAATATGTTGATAGAGACAGAAAGACAGAGATATAGATAGACAGGAAGATAGATAGATATATTGATATATATATTTATAATCAGTATGTATAGATATACACGTGACCATTTTTCGAGTCTTGTCCCGAAAATCAGAGTCTTTAATCAGCCATATTTACCAAGCACCTTTCCCCCGCGCTCGCTCTCGCTAAATCTCGTTCCACGCGAGACCCCCCCCCCCTCCAGCGCTGCGAGACTCTTCTTATGTCAAGGGTCGAGAACGCCGTGCCGGGGGGACAGTTTTATCTCCGTCCGGGATGTTATTGTTTTCCATTTCTTTTTGTCGTTGGCTATCAGGTTTCCATTGTTCCGTCTTGGCCATTTCATTTCCTGGCCGAAGGGAAGAGGGTTATCTTGCGCGGAAGTGTCTCGGGTTCGGCCTCCCTTCCGCGCTCTTTTCATCGCTTTTTATGCTCCGCGTCTCACCGCTCGCTCGCAGACGGCGTGGGCGGTCGGGCGGCGAGCAGGTGGGAGGTGGCCGCGCGTGTTTGTGCTCTGTGGAAATGTGTGTGTGTGTGTGTGTGTGTGTGTGTGTGTGTGTGTGTGTGTGTGTGTGTGTGTGTGTGTGTGTGTGTGTGTGTGTGTGTGTGTGTGTTTGTGTGTACGTACTTATATATGCATGTATGTATGTATGTATGTATGCATTATGTATGTTATATAGTTATAGTTATATATATATATTTATATATATTTATGTGTGTATATATATATTTATATACATATGTATATATATATATATATATATATATATATATATTTATATATATATATATATACATATATATATATGTTTGCGTACTATTAAGTACGTTTTCGGGGAGACGAATTCCTAGTGTTGACACAGGAATAAATATTTACATGGTTAGAAATAGACACGCTTCTTCTGAGTCAGACTGAGTCAGGCCGTGAAATATTGGCCTCGTGAGGGTGACTCGAAGGGACAAAGCTCAACTTCAGTACTGTTTTATAGCTTTCCTTTGAAAGGAAGTTTGTTCAAAAGCTATTCTGTTTTCCTTAAGCGGAAGTTTGATAAGAAGAGTATCTTACTTATTCTCGCTATCTCTCTCTCTCTCTTTCTTTTATCTCTCTTTCTCTGTCTTTTTGCTTGTCTGTCTGTCTCTTTGTCTCTGTCTCGCTTCGCTTCTCTTCTCTTATCTCTCTCTCTCTCTCTCTCTCTCTCTCTCTCTCTCTCTCTCTCTCTCTCTCTCTCTCTCTCTCTCTCTCTCTCTCTCTCTCTCTCCTCCCACCCTTTATCTAGCTACCATCCCGTCTCTTTATCTTTTTATCTGTCCATCATTTATCATTCTACGTATCTATCTTCCTCTTCCTCCCTTTCTTCCACCCTTCTTCTTTCTCTTATCTATCTATTTATCGACCTTTCGTATTCCCTCCTTCGCATTTCCCGCAGTCTGAGTGTCTTCCCTATTTATCATCTGTCCTATTTACCCAGCTGGCAGGTAGTAGGGTCCATTAGTAGATAAGAAAATACAGAAATCTGATCTTTATTGCGTCTGTCGGGACGATTTTCGGATTGTGTGCCACTCTTGTCTGTTTTCTTTTCTTTTCTTTATAATTCAATGAGTTAATAACAATAATAATAACAATAATAATAATGATAAATTAATGGTAATGATAAGTAAAATTGATTATAACAATGATAATAAAATGAGTAAATAGTTTATTAATAACAACAACAACAATAATAATAATAATAATGATAATGTTATCATTATTATTTTTATTATTATTACTGTTATTATTTTTTTATTATTATCGTTATTACTATTATCATTATCATTATTTATTTTAATAAATCTTGCTTTTTTACATTGTGTTTTTTCTACCATTATTATTATTATTTTTCTTTTTTTATTATTATTATCGTTGTTGTCATTATTGTAATTATAATGTTGATTATTTTTTAAATTAATATTAATGTTGTGGTTGTAATTATTATCATTATTATCACTGTTACTGCTATTACTATTGTAACCACTATTATTATTATTATTATTATTATTATTATTATTATTATTATTATTATTATTATTATCGTCGTATAAGGAAATAGTCTACGATCAATACTGCCATAGTTACCTTTGTGCAGTTTCGTCCTTCCCCTTTGATATGTATATTGCTGGTTTAAAGATGAAACAGCTTTTCTTTGTTTTCAGTTTAGGATTGTAATTCTATCAGGGAGGAGTAGGTGTATTCAACCTCCTCCAATTCCTTCGCCATAACTGATATACTATATATGTCTTCAACCAACATATAAAATCAAATTGAACCTTTAACTAAAACGTTGACTTTTGGCCGAAGTGATGAGCAATGAAATAGTCGTTCGTCGGAGTTTAACAATCGCAACGACCAATTGTAAAGTTACGATCGATTCTCAGATGTTTTTTTGTTCGTAAACACCAGCACGGTCTGCTTACGATCGTAACTCATAACGATCGTAGTTACCAGCGATTTTAGTGCCCGAAGTGCGCTAGTAAAATCCGGCCCCAGAGGGATAGTAATAGATAATAGGTAATAGATGGATAAATGGATAATTTTAATCCACCTCTCGCGTGTCTTTGATAAAAAAATATTGATAAATACACCCAAGTAAGACAGAAAAAAAAACAAAAAAACATTATCTTGCTCCAACAGTGAGACTCGGAAATCGGTATACGTTCTAGTGTCCTCAGCAGGCAATTACTGCAAGCGATCCATCAGCGGCCACTCGGGATAATCTCGTTGGTCAGAGACACAGAACAACAGACCAATCAGAACTGTGATTACTGCAGAATAAGAAGTCTTATTGGACGTTTCGAGACGAGTGACTGTTCCTCTGCTGGACTGTGTTAAACTTTGTGTGTTGTTTGTTCGAAAGAGAGAGAGAGAGAGAGAGAGAGAGAGAGAGAGAGAGAGAGAGAGAGAGAGAGAGAGAGAGAGAGAGAGAGAGAGAGAGAGAGAGAGAGAGAGAGAGAGAATGAAGATAATGGGTATTTGAATATCCCTGTTTTCTCTAGACCCCATTTCTTATCTTCTTTGTCACTCTGTTAAAATAGTGAATTCATCTTCCTGTCCATTCTGTCTTGTCACACGCGCGTACGTACATAAAAGGTATAATTCATACGAATACACAGACGCTTCACCATTATCATAATTTTCATTATCATAATTATCATAGCTATCGTGATTATTATATTAACTGCCAGTATAATATTCCTTGTTGTTATACTGCTGTCATTACTAATGATGTTTCGTGTTACTGTCAATATTGTTGTTCTCGTTTTTGTCATTATTCATATTCATCATAGTTGTATATTTCTCCGGTATTTTTATTTATCATTATTTCTTTTTCTATTATTATTCTTTTGTGACATTTATTACTGTATTTTGCATTTCGTCTTTATTGACCAGGTTTATTAACTTCATATTAACTTTGTGTATTCCTGTGCTGTTTCCCATTATCAAACCATTATGTATCGTCCATTACCTTTCCAGTTATCTTTTTTTTTTTCTCTCTTCCTCTTTATCCCTCGCTTTCCTGACCCTGCGGTAAAATAGTACCCCCCCCCCCTCAGTTTCTTTCATTTCAGCTCTTCACGCCCCCTTCCTTTTTAATTTAAAGTCCCCCCCCCTCCCCCCCTTTTCATTCCTCTAAAAAGGGGGAAAATAATCGCCCTCTCCCCTTTCTCCTTTTCTAACACCCCCCCCCCCTCCTAACCCACTCCACGAATTACCCGCTTTACTTTTTCTCCTTTCTACCCTTCACCCCCCCCCCCCACACACCTCCCTCCTCCCCGCTTGAAGGCTTTAGAATTAACTTATTTTATTGCCTCTATATTTTTTTTTTTGCTTTTCTTACTCTCTAACTGACTGTCGTTTCTCCTCCTATAATGATGATTGCGATGATAGTAATAATAATGATAAAGATGATAATGGTGATGATAGTGATAATAGTAGCAATAATAAAGACGATAATGATGATGGTAATAACAATAATAATAATAATAATAATAATAATAACTGCAATTGTTATTAGCATCATACTTGTTTGTTATTATTAAGAGTGATAGTGATAAAAATGAAAATAATGATAATCACTATATATGTTATTAATAACAGTAATGGCATAAGTAAAAGTAATAATGATGATAGTAATAGTAATAATTATAGTAATAGTAAAAATGATAATAATAATAGTGATGATAATGATAGTAATAACAATAATAATAATAATGATAATAATAATAATAATAATCATTATTCTCATTATTATTACTATATCACTATCATCATCATAACAGTCAATAATAACGATACCTCCTTCCCCCAAAACTAATCCCCCCACCCCTCCTTTCCCCCTCCAGGAGCGATGTTCACGGAAGAACAGCGAGAGGGACCCACGGAACTCGCCTTCAAGTACGCAGTCTATCGTATTAATAAGGAGTCGTCGCTTCTGTCCAATACAACGCTTGTGTACAACATTCAATACGTGCCTAAAGATGACTCGTTTCATGCCTCTAAGAAGG